ATATCCGATCATAAATATAGAAAATGATGTAATTATCAAAATATGATTCAGGAATATTATAGTTCAAGTAATACGTAGTCTTCATTGTTTTATGACAGCAATGATTTGGTTGAAAGATGATGAAGTGAAAATATATTAAGGCATGCCATTTTTTAATCTGAAGACATTTGAAATCGTAAGTTTAGATAAATATAGCTTAAATATAAAAAATAGGATTTAGAAACATATATAACATTCATATTTTGAAATATTCACCTTGCGTCCTTAAACACTATCTTAATTAAAGAGCCGTAAAATAATTATATCAATTCACCAACATTTATATATGTTAACGTCATCAGTTATTGTTTAAAGTTTTTTGAGATGACTTTATCACTTGTGTCAAAATGAACTTTTAATATAAGCAATGGAAATGTTCAACCAACATTTTAACCTGATTAAGATAACCCAAAATCACGAGGTTATCAATGAGTGTAGACATAACATACATTTATTTTATTCTTTCCAATGGATTACTGATTTATCCATGAAAATTATATTTGATAATTTCACAGTGAAAATTATCAAAATACAATTTCACACTTTTCAATGACGAAACTACTTTTTTAAGATTTTCCCCATGTGGTAACTCAATTTTATTTTTTGCTGACAATTCTGACAATGTCCGGCTGTTTAAAGAAAACCAAAGCTGAAATTGATAAATAACTTAAATGTTGAAAGTAAGTTGAAAGTAATAAAAAGAAGAAAACTTACTTCTATTCATTCAAATTACCAATCACCAAGTCGTCTCTTTAATTTTTTGTCTCATTTTTACAGTCTGAAAAATACATTCCTTCCACATGCAAAACTGCTCTTGATGACATTAGGGCATATTTAAGTATCCTACAAGCAATAACTGCCATATGCTTTATGAAAACTTGAAAAGCAATGACAGCCATTAGCCCGAAAAATAAGTGACCTAAGCCTCAAAGTTTTCCAATTTCCTAGCCTTTGTTTGAATGTTTACACACCTGTCAACACTTATTTATTGTCTGTTACAATCCTCAAATAAGTTTTCTGTCTTTTAAAAAAGTGTATGACTAACAAATCCAAATGAAATCCCTCTGAATCAAACAAAATACACAACTTTTAAAAATGGCGGCCGCTTACATTTAACAAAGCCATGTTTAATATAAATTCGCAGTAAGTAACAGAAATATGGATGGATGGTTGACTTTTTCTCCTACCAGAATTGTTTGTTTTTATTATTAAAACAAGCGATTATTAATATTTTTTTAATATAATGAATAATATCACCACCATTTAACGTTGATTGTCAGACTTATTTTACAGCACAAGACATCTTGTATTTAATGAGATATTCGACTTTTTTAGGCTCTCAATGGGGAAAACAGATTTCAATATTAACGTTAATTTTAAGGAAATTTCGTTTTAACTTGTTGTTAAGCATAAAATAAAAAGAAAATTTGTTCGTTTGTTGTGTTAGATGCAATTTTATTTCATCTTACACACAAACAACAAATATCCTCTATGTATTACGCATCCCGATAACTCGAGAATGAATCGGGGTGGTAGGAATGTAACAGTTACTTCCCGTTAAACGTTGTAAAGCACTGCGTGACCACATTAAATTTTTTTAGTTTTTTTGAATTATATAGTGATGAAAAGTAATTGAAACTGAAGAGGATTAAACATGTAAGTTAAAATGGAAAACAACAACAACAACAACAAAGGCAACACAGCAACAAACAAAATGCTATATAATCTATTATTGTTTTACTATTGAAAGAATAACTTTTAGTAATAATAACAAATACATTAATTTATTTATTTATCATGAATATTAAAAATTTCGAAATTAATTCGGATAATAACGTTATTCAACGTTTGAAAATATTATAATTGAAGAAAGAATGTCGACAAAACCTTCAATCCTTCTTTGCATAATCTATTGCGTTACTTACGCAGTAAACAATATAAATAGGACGGATAATTTAATCTATTGGTCAAGTGCCAAAACAGTTGTTCGGAAAAGTTCCTGGATCCGATTCGCCCGGGATTAGCTATTTCATTTGGGTAATTAAAGGTTTCCTCCGAAGATCATCTTTGTAGTATATCCAATCATATCTTGCTTAACAAAGACGATATTTAGACGATATTTAGTCCTTAAGTGACATTCATGTCATTACTTGTTCGCCACTTTTCTAAGAAGCGTCTAATGCAACTGCAGCACGTATTTAAAATATGGTCAGCCCTTTCTACAGAATGAAAAAAATATTCATTTCCGAGGCATAATGACAGATATGATTGTGTGCTTACTACATGTAAACACAAATATTGTTAAATAACGAGTGCGTGTTTTTATCAATTACGTATGTTTTTATCAAATATTTCTTTAATTACCATAATTGTTTGGTGTCAGAATAATCATACAGTTTTACTGTACATAGTTTTTTTTTTTTACAACGAGTCAGCGATACACTGAAGTGTATCATATTTCAATGTACAGTTTCATTTATAAACCTGTTGCTGGGAGTGTAAAATTTATCTACATGTTTAAATGTCAGATCGTTTATGCTAGCAAATATGCGCGTTTAGAGAGAGATTTTACATTAGTTAGGAGACACACGCTTATAGTGTGAGGGGTTATTTTTTTATTGGGAAGAGAATTTTGTTGTTTTGAAGAGAATTTTGTTGTTTTGAAGTCAGTTTTGTTGGTTTGTTGAAGTGGTTGAATATAATTGTGGTGATCTTAATTGATCAGGGTTTATTGGTTGTAATTAGTTGTTTTTGGTTGTTGTGTTATATCTGTTTGTGACGATATAATTGGTTGATATTGGTTGAATGTTTGTTTGGTCAAGATTATATTAGTTGCTGCTTTGTTTTGAGGATATATGTAAATATTGGGTGCTTTAGTTTAAGTTGTTTTCTGATGCTGATTAGATTGTGTGAAGTTAATATTGTTGTATGAATGTTTGTGGTTTATACCGTATCTTAGAGTTGTAAAAATATTCATTTTTTGTGTTCTTCATTTTGTGGTGATTTTATTGTTGTTTGATCATAAGTTGTTTAGAGCTTGGGCTCGCCAGGGGTCTTGTTTCGTATAAAAGACGTATACGTGAAAAGATATTTCATATAAGTGGCTGATAAATGATGTGTGTTTGTTTTGGGTGTAAATAATGATCAGAGTTCTTTGTTTTGGGTGTAAATAATAATCAGAGTTAGTTGTTTACATGTATATATTGATTTGAGATAGAAAAGGATAAAAATACCTAAAAAAAGATAGTGTTAACTAAACAATTACATGCTAGTTTTCCAACTGAGAATATTTCACTTTTATGTCAGGCGGTGCTGCCCAGCCTCCATATCTTGGAAATTGGTTCTAGTATTTATTACTAAATCTTTTCTTAGATTAAATAACATCAAGGCAGACATTTTCTCCTGACATTTGGCCCCCGTAGTGAGAGAGTGTTACGATAATATATAATATTGGAATTTTTCTTCTCATTTACGAGTTTTACGTGCAGCTATGAATATGTATAATGGGGAATTAGCTCAAGTGGTAGAGCGCTCGCTTTGCATGTGAGAGGTACCGGGATCGATACCCGGATTCTCCATATTTTATTTTGCCATTTTGTTTTTATATAAATTATATTCCGAAACAGTGCTTCATCACAATAAGAATATACATATTATTACAAGGATATTATAAATCTGTAATTTATGACGTATTGAATGCATATCATTATTGTTTTTACCATAAACATTTTATTATGAAACAATTATTAGAATTTCACAATTTAATGTAAGGATGATACAAATCGAATTTGAAATAATTACAAGTCGTAACAACGTAGTTTGCGATTATGATAGATAAATTCCGCCTACTGTTAGCGGTAATCTTATAAAGGTGTTTGAAAGTATCATGTCTGTATTTTGATGGTCTCAAAATGTGACCCTTTCGAGCCACATCGACTACACCTATGTGAATAATTGTCAACCGAAATAATTAAAATATGAACTTAGAAAATGATTAAGAAGTAGACAACACGGGGGAGGAACTGTTACAAAGAGGGATGGAGTCCTTATGGTAACTTGTCAGAAGTTCTTGTGATAACTATCACGGAGTTCGTCGGAAAACTTTTGTATATACTACAAAAACACTCGTCAAAAATGGTCATTTTCATCTTTAAAAAGTGAGTTTTTTGTGCTAAATTAAACTTTATTGATTAAGCGTGCCTTACATATTGTATTATGTGTCAAATACTAATTTATAGTCCATTTTTGATCGCCTGGTAGTTTTGAGTAAAATTTCCAAATTATTTGCATTATTACCTAATTATGATGCAAAGTTGCAAACATAAAGCCCTGGCCCGATTTTTCAAATGTCCTTGAGTTCTTGTGATAACTTTGAAGATGTCCTAGATTTTTAGAGTCATTGACAGTTATCACAAGAACTCCTGAAAAGTTTTCATAAGAACTCAATCACTCGTGTAACATCCACGTGGACATTAATTAAGATTGACAAATTGTACGTATACTTCGTTAGGTTAGAGGTACTTTTAATGGTTGTATAAACATATACATATATACATGTATATAGTTTGTCATATCGATACCATATTCAGTTTTATACATCATGTACATTGCGCATAAACCAAACAATCTTGTAGACGACTTTATTAGTTATCAAGTAACTACAAGCACCTTAGATTATTTTACTCTCCGAACTATATTACCTGACATTATACTTATCGCGATAGCAATACAGGGTTGATACTTACAGTTCATTATGCGCTATATCAGTTATGAAGCTGTATTATTATATAAAGATTGATGTTATGGACCGGTGACCGGTTTCAATAAATTGATTGTCATTGTCAGTGTCATTGTACTAATGATTAACTATTATATAACGGATTAAAAATAAGAAAATAATTAAAGAAGGAAAGGCAATTATACTAAAGTTAGTATAAAAGAAAACCAGAAAATGTGACCCATCTGTGTATGTCGGTGCTGTAAACTATAGATTCTGCATCCGCTTTCTCAATCCAAACGGCAACACCTTGATTCAAACGTAGAACAACCGTGCCTCCACCTTGAACATCTTTCCAATGATTTATTTCAAATGGTCTTGAAACACCGGATGCTTTAAGGGCATTGTTGGCCATCAAACGGAACTCAACACTTGAACTGGACGAGCTGAGATAGAAAATGAAGACGTAAGTTCCAGTAACTGGCACGGTGAAGATTCCAGTCACTGCATTGTAAGCGTTTCCATCATTTGTTATTATCTTGTCAAACTTAACTGTTTGAGAGGTTCCCAAATGGTCTTGTAAATGAGACAGGTAAGCAGAAAATGCAACCTGTGCTTGTATTGCTCGTCTTTGGTAATGACCTGAAAAATATATTTCTTTTTATAAGTATGGTTGGGGACTTGTGTCCGACATTTAGATATAACATTATGAATGAGTTAAATAAAGTTATGAGAATTTGACAAAATGGTCTTACTACATTCTATTTTATAAGGAAATAGACTCATTTGTGTCAGTACGAGATAAAATTTTATTGCAAACCTCATAAAATATAACAAATGAACTTTAAGCTTTTGCACCACGTGATGTTCTGATAGTAATCACTCTTGGATACAATGTAATCAAGAACATCGTTTTTTATTTTGTAGAGTGCAAAAAGTCTATTTCAGATTTTCAAATGCATATCTAACCCTCTTTAGCCTCGTTTTCAATTTCAGACTCCATAAGATCTAAATCATATGTATCTCTAGCCTCACATTCTTTTTGAGAGATCACAAAAATATCATATCAAATCCTTATTGTAACTGTAGTCACAAATATCTGTCAAAATGTCAAAAGTGGTGGTGTGAAATAAAGACGTCATTATACATTTTTGAGAATAGAATTTTACGTATTTTACTGAATATTGTAAGATATACTCATAATATTTCACTGAGTGAGACCCAGCTGTAATACGTTTATCAGTAGCGTAACCACTATTTAAAATCTAACATTGAAATAGAATTTGATCATACACGAAAAAAATCTACCTTGTCACGTCATCAAAACCATGTCACATACGGTCTGATGACATATCTTGCATAGATCTTTATGTTTATGTATTTCGTCTCTTTCGAACGACTTTTTTTCTACTGATATAACTTTTCTTTCAATATCATAATTAATGATATATTCACCCTTAGACTAGCGTTTACACGTTGCATAGCTTTACCACTCGTATTTGACTGCCTAACATACAGATTATCAGAAAATCGAAAGCAAATTCCGCTATTTTTACAAACATATATGTGTGGCGGACAAATGCGTTTGACAGGGCGATGCAACGCGAATCCTATTTTTGCGTCACAAGGATAATTTTTCCGCATTAAATACACAGAAATTTCAGCTTTAATAAAATTTGATATATATGGAAGCTGATTTGTGTCGTTCGTGTTTTCGTCCTGCGACCCCGAGAATAAAAAAGCTAAAACAGTGGTGGCGCAGAGCAAAAACACGATAATTAGCGGGGGCGCGGGGCAATATTTGATAAATAATACTTCGCCCCACGGGGGCACGGAGCGAGATTCAGGAAGGAAAACGGTGGGGGCGCGGAGCGAAAACAAGCTCAGTAGCGGGGCGCGGGGCAAAGTTTAATTTATAAGCGTGTGTTCGCTCCGCGCCCCCGCCATTTTATTTTTTAGCTCTCAATCCGCACCCCTGCCGAGCGAAGCTTTATTTATTAAACATGACGCCATGCCTCTGCTTATTAGCGTGTTTTCGCTCCGCTCCCCCATTTGGCGGGGTCGCGGGTCAAAAACACGAATAGCACAAATCAGCCACAATACGTATATACTTCATAATTCGACTGAGGAATTATCAAGATGAAATCAACTGACATGTTTTTTTAAAAATCTAAATAAATAAGTAAATAATAAATAGAAAGCATCTTTGTAACATTCGCCTTAGTTTGCAATTTTCAGCAATATAAATAGATTACCGGTCGCTACATCTCTTTGTTTCATCTCGTTGCCAGCCGATTCACCTTCTATGATTTTATGTTCCGGATCTACTCTATTATTGGAAGCAGAATTAGCAAATTGTGCACCCGAAGTACGTTGCAATGTAGTTTCAATTCCTCTCAATCGCTCAATTTCATTTTTGTCGTGTGCTTCTAATTCGGCTATTTTCTTTTGACTGTTCAAAACACGCTTTTTTAATTAGCAATCTTCTGTTTAAAAACCGTTTTTTCCATATTTTTTTTTTGTCATTTTAGCTTTAGTTAGATATTTTTTTTGGGCCGAATTTACTAATTCCAGACCCCGTTCATCCATCTTTTTGACAAATTCACGGTCTTTTACTGCAAATTTACTAAAACAAAAACCCAATTTTGAAAGGACTAAAAGAAAAAAAAAAACACTTTCAGTAAACCCTTGTCAAACCCCTTTAGGGAATGATACTAGAATTTATTACTTACAAAACTCATTTTAATTATGAGATTTATTTCATAAAAAATTTAGGCAGTTAAAAATAGATGTTCTTTCTCTAATTTTTATTTTAAAATAAATTTATTCTTGATTGTTTAAAGGCATATAAGCAATAAATACGAATAATTTTTACATGCGTAGAAAGGGAAAATATTTGTTTTATAATGTTATAATAAAAGTTTTAGCAAATGAACTACACTTATTGCCTGACTTAAAAAGCACTGCATGTGTTATAATTTGTCATTAAGGTGGCCAAATAAAATCAATTACTTTAACTTCCGTTCAAAATACTAGTTTACTATAACTGTTCTAATTGCAAAAATGCAAAAGCTGCAAAATATTACTCAGTTTTAATACCTAAAGAATAACCCTTTGGAAACTGAAACAGAGCACCAGAAATAAAATGTTTTTTTTTGAAAAAGAAAGATAATAGTATGTTTGAAGCTTCGTTTTGATTACAAATCGAGAGTCATTATGAATTTTTATTTTGTCTCGACGGAAGGGAAGATATTTTCAAAACGTTTTGAATAATTAAGTGCCTTAATATCAAATTATTATGAGCAAAACATTCATTATTAATAACATGCAGTTATTTAAAAAGAAAAACACCAACAAACATAAACAACAACAACAACACCAACAATTACAACAAATGAAAAAACAACAAATATCTGTTAGAAACATTTTATATGCATTTGTATTTTCCAGTTTAAAAAATTATTTCACATTTTGTTTTTACAAAATTTAGGTTTTTGTCTCCCCAAAAAAACAAAAAAAACAAAACCCCATGGAAAAACTTTCCCTTTTCGTCTTTTTGAAATTTTAAGTACAGGGGGAAATCAAAGGTTTTATTTGTAAAAAAAAAGATGTTCCCTTTTGAAATATTTAAACAATTTGAGGGTTCTAAAAAGGGAAAAATTCAATGGGTTAAAAAAGAAAACAATACAGAAACCGCATATAAAAGATAAAAAAAATAGGATTAAATTGAAAAGATTATAACCTATCTGAGGGCAATCATACTATACAAACTGACACAACAGCAACTTTCGTGAAAAACTTAAATTTTTTTTTTTATTTTCCTGACAATGGGAGTTTAATAAAAAATATTTTCTATTTAATCCCGTTTGTCCCGAATTAAAAAAATAATAAATGTTGAAAATTTAGGAATGGTGCAGAAAAAACTTAACAGAATATTTATGACTATTTTGAAAAATAAAAGAAAAAATATTGTTTGCATGGTCTGTGGGGTGTGAAAAGGTTTTTGCATTTCGCTTCATTATTTTCTAATTTCCTAACCCAAACTTTTACACACGAATTTTGCAATTAAGTGCTGTAATGGTTATTATTTTATAATTTTCGTAGAATGATTGCCTCATTGTCATTCTTTACTAGAATTTCGGATGTTTCTGTGTTTACCTATTCAAAACCTATACAGTTGACATACAATTAATCTTTGGTTGACTTTTAATGAACATTATCTATCTTCTCCATAGAGATTTCATGTGTACTAATGATAATGTTTGACATAGGACTTAACATTTAAAATTGTTTGAATGATGCTGTAAAAGCGATTTTATTACCCCTGATTTCGATCTCTACTAGACATTTATATAAGTTTAATGGTTATGCTGCACATATGTATAAACATCTAGTAAATTCTTCTAAAGCATTATTATTTGAAATAATGAATAAAAAAAAGTGTTTATATATTAAAAAAGACGACTCATTATAACTGTCAAAATAGCCATTTTATTTATGAAAAGAAACACAAATGTCCGCCATTTTGTATTATTTATTGTTTTGACGTGACGTCAACAATTGTGGCGTTTCTATCCGGTTCGCAACGTGTTGTATTTATATGAAATGAAATTGGAAATAAAAAAGAAGAAAAAAAAAAAATTGATTCGAAAGAAGCTTTTATATATATTGTCAGAAAGCCTTGATTTTCAGCAAGTCTCCTTGTTGGTGAGCAGGTCCTGTGAGGAAAACCGAAATAAAGCAGCAAGTCTAGAAAACGGTCGGCTTTCTAGTGAAGAGTTGAGCCTTAGCAACGGTCCGCTTCCCCAGTAAAGAAGCAAGTCTAAAAAACGGTCCGCGCTTCCCAGTAAAGAAGCAAGTCTAAGAACGGTCCGCTTCCCAGTAAAAGAAGGCACGTCTAAGAACGGTCCGCTTCCCAGTAAAAAAAGCAAGTCTAAGAACGGTCCGCTTCCCAGAAAAGAAGCAAGTCTAAGAAGCGCAGCAAGTCCAAGAAGCGCAGCAAGTCCAAGAAGCGCAGCAAGTCCAAGAAGCGCAACAAGTCTTAGAAGCGCAGCAAGTCCAAGAAGCGCAGCAAGTCTTAAAAGCGTAGCTAGTGTAATAGTGCAGCAAGTCCAAGAAGCGCAGCAAGACTAATAGTGAAGCAAGTCCAGAAGTGCAGCAAGTCTAAGAAGCGCAGCAAGTCTAATAGTGCAGCAAGTCCAAGAAGTGCAGCAAGTCTAATAGAGTGCAGCAAGTCAAGAAGCGCAGCAAGTTAATTTAGAGTGACAGCAAGTCCAAGAAGCGCAGCAAGGGTATAAACGTGCAGCAAGTTTAAAAACACGCATCAAGTCTAAAGAAGCGTAGTAGTGCCCAATAAGTGCCAGGCAAAGTTCAATAGTGCAGCAAGTCCAATACTGCCAGCAAGTCCCAATACCTGCAGCAAGTCCAGGAGAAACAGCGATTTCTTAACTTATTATCACAAATACCCGCCTCAGCATATCGATTAAAAATCTCAAAAAGTGAAAACCCAAAAAACCTTGACAATTGGGGGGCTCGTCCGGGGGATCCCACTTTAAAGAGATTTTGATAAACTGAGCAATATGTTTTTACGACGAATGGTTAAGAATAGGAGAAAAGCTAGGGTTATCCGGGGCCAGCGATTTATTATTGTTTCTTCCCAAGAGAAGGAAGAAGAGTGCTTAGCCAGAGAAAAAGGGCCCCAAAGGGCGTAAAGAAAAAAGGGAAGACAGATGGAAAAAAACCCTTGAGCCCCAGATAAAAGGGAAAAAAGATTTTCGAGTTTGGGGATAAACCCCCCAAAGTAACCACCAGTGGGGGAACCAATCCCCCCAAAAAAAAGAAAAACCTAAGCCGATGCCCAAAAATTTATAAATAGTTTCCCTTTTGGAGGGGTTTTGAAAGATTTCCCAATCACCCAAGATTTTGGGGAAAGAACTTGGGCCATGAGCTTAACTTTATTTTAAGGGAAAGGGTTCTGGAAGAAACCCAAAAGTTTCCCATATTGAAGGAAGCCAAACGATTTATGAAACCTTGAAGGGGCATTTTAAAAAACGATACCATTTGCCCCTGAAAGGGTTCGGGGTAAAAGTTCGGCAAAAGAGACCACTACCTTTTTGGGTCTTTTTTTCATTTCATTGAGAGGGAAAAATTTTTTCACAAGGGGGGACAGATATGGCTAAGTAGAGAAACCCTTTTATAAAATAACCCGAGTTCTTAATCAAGGAACAGTTCATCATTTTTTCCCACAGTTTTCCCCGGGTTTCCTGAAAAAAAGGAGTGCCGACATCAATAAAAGATTTTAACACGCCTTGCAGAGGTACTGGGAACCATAGAGCTTTCTTCTGTTTTTCCCCAAAGGGGTACTCCATTCCCCAAAAAAAGGGGGCAGATGGCAAGAGAAAATTTCCCCAGAGACATCAACCAGAGTGAAAGAATAAATTCGCCATTTAAAAGAACTTTATTTGTAAAAAGGCGGGCCATTTAGGGGGAACTGCCGACAGCACAACAGAAGCAACCCACGAAAGGGGCCCTTTTTTTTGAAAACCCCAAGAGGGGATATTGAAAAAATTTTGTAGGCAGACAAAACAAAAGGGTGTAAAAAGTGACCGAAAGGGTTAGAAACCCCCGATTGCCAAAGCAGCCCCTTAAACCTAGAGAAAACCACTGAAGAGGGAAAAATTGAATTTTACCCATGGAGAGATTTGGGGCCGATCCCGGGGGAGTTGTACCATTGATTTTTTGGAAAAAGGGAAAGAAACCCTGGTTGAAAAGGGCTTTTTTTGGAGCAAAATGCAGTTAAAAATGTTAGAGATAGGGAAAATGTGGTTAGCCCCCGGTAAAGAAGAAGTTTGGGGAAAGAAAAAAATCACGGTAAAGCCCCAATTTTCCTTTCTATGACACTGACAAATATCAAAATATTTGCATGTCTTAAAACAGAAAAAATTAAGAAAACCCCACGTGGTCTTTTACTTCCTTTGTACATCCCCCAAATATACTATTTCATTAAAAAATCACTAAAAATCAAATTCTGTGTAACAATTTTAAAGCGAAAAATTAAAATTTTTTATTTAACTTCGTTTTGCTTTTCTCCCATTTTTAGTTTAAAAATTTTATTTTATTGCTTTTTGAATAAAATTTTAGAACTTTTTTTCCCAAAAAAACAACATTTTTAACAAAGAAGAAAAGGGGGTTTTAAAAAACAATTTTCAAAGCAACATTAGAAACCCAAACCCTTTTCCCTTTAACTTTTATAAAATAGAAAAAAAATTTTTAAAAACACTATAAACCATAAAAATTAAAAATATTAAACGGATAAAAAAACAAAGTAGCAAATAAAAATTTTCGACATAAAAATTTAAAAAAAAAAAAAAAACTTTTTGTTAATTTCAATTTTTTAAATATAAAAAAAAATAGAAATTTCCTTTGCATTTTGGCAGTATTTATGGTTTGTAT